TTTCGATCCGTCTCGAAAATTACTGATATTCAAGAATAAACATTGCATAAATATTGAAGTTATTAGATTTTTAAGATATCCCTTGACTTCTTGAACATATTATATTTGAAAAGTTCAAACTGTATTCAGATCACGTGAGTAAAATTAAATATTTCTATTGGAAAATCGATATAATTTTCCATGATTGACAAGGACAACTGTCGAAAAAATCCTTCTATATCATCAGGTTTTGAAAAAATTGATCTTAGTTTTTCTTGATAAAATCCCTTAAAGGACGAAAAGCGTCGGGTAAGAATAGTTTTCTTATTGCCTTTTTTATTCATTTTGTTCCTGTACAGATACACTATCTGAAAATAATTTACACACACACACACACATATATATATATACATACATATATATATATATATATATATATATATATATATATATATATATATATATATATATATACTCAATTCTCCTGTCGAATTCGACGTATGAGGGTCAAGCAGATCAGTTTCAGGAAACCGGCAGCCCGCCACCGGCACATGAGATTTGATTATCGTGGTGAAGGCTTCGTGCAGGACCATCCACACTTTTTTGAAGGGCCGAATACAGAGACCTGGTGCATTGAATGCCACAAGGTCCCCAAACGACCCTCTGCCGGTTTTGAATTCAGAGTTGTCCTTCTCCTAGACCAGTTGCCATCCAAGGCTATAGAGCCCAGTCTGTCTTGCTATTTACCCAGAGCTGGAGGGAGAAGAAGAGGATTCACAACCTTTAAATATATATATATATATATATATATATATATATATATATATATATATATATATATATATATATATATATATATATATATATATATATATATATATATATATATATATATATATACACGTTTCATTAAATAATATAGACAAGTGTTGTGTATTTATTTTATGTAAATTTTTTTTGTAACGTCTGAGAAGTTTAATAACATTATCGTTGAACGAAGAAAGAAATTCACAATATTGATCCATATTCTTTTAATACAATCTAAGCTTTCGGCTTACATAAGCCATTATCAAAGATGTCAATTACAACATATTAAACAATATACGGACAAGACAGTGGTGATAGTCTGTGATTGTTTACATAGATGATTTCTAAGCAACGATAAACACGCGCATATAAGACGCTAGAAGCGAAAATCGCACCGCATCTCATGACGTCACACATGACCACACGAGAGTGAATTGGAGGAATATGAAGTATGGAAAGCCGTTGGTATAAACAAATGGCTTCTGTTACCAATTATAGACATTTAAGAATATTTGTAGAGATGCCATAATTGATTTTGTTTAGGTTGGGTTTTAACTGTTTGATGTATAATGCTTCAAGGATTTTTAGTTTTTGTCTATTGTTTTCATGTCGAAGTATAGTTGTGTTTTCGACAAGTATTTTACGGAATTGTGTGTGCGGGCAGGCATGTTGTTTTAAATGCCTAAAAATGTTAGAGTTTTCATTAAAATGTAGTGTCAAGCGTCGTGAAAGCGACTTTGTGGTGTGACCAACATAAATATTATTTAATTCGTTGGAGATACACTCTCCCAAAGGGCACTTGAATTTATAAACTATGTTAGTTTTTGCAAATCGCTAACCGGGGGAGAAGAATCATTGCGAAGAATTAAGTTGGATGTACTAGATTTAGTGTAGTATATGATTAATTTAATTTTTTTGCTAGGATCTGTAGTTGATATATTAGAATTTACTAAATTTTTTAGTATATTTTCATCTTGTTTATAATTAGTATGCATTTGATTACGGTATAGGAGATTAATATGTTTGAGATTAGTAGAAGCAGTATTATGTACAATTTGCTTAGTATTGAGATTTCTAAGAAAGCATCTTATTTGTTCATCAACTATATAGTTTGGAAAGCTATTATTAATAAGCGTCTGTTTTATATTCTTTAGTTCACTGTAAAAAATCTGTTTGGTGGATGAATTAGTTTCTGCACGATGTATTAGATTCTTTATAATTGCTATTTTGTAGTAATATGGGCATTCGCTCTTGTAGTTAAGTGTACATGAATTTATGCTTGTTGGTTTTTTCTATGGCGAAATAGTAAATTTGTTATTATTTGTGTTTATCAATATGTCAAGAAAGGGGATTTTATTATTAGTATTGTGTTCATATGTGAATTTAAGGACAAAATTATTTTGGAAACGTTTTTGAATTTGAATTATTTAATCTGTACTTTTAACTAACATAAGAATATCATCAACGTATCTTATATATATATATATATATATATATATATATATATATATATATATAGGTAAAGGTCCGTGGGTAAGTAATCCAAGTGAATCCTAATAACATAAAATATTAAAACTGATCCACAAAAGAGAGAGATCAAAATATTTATTATAGAGCATAGAAATGAATTACATAAAAATGAAACTGAATTTTATCCCATTTATATGGCCATTTCGTTCCCGTAGAGAGAAATTCCCTGGAGATGTTCAATACTAAAAATTTGGATAAAAAAAAAAAAATGAATTTTTATCAAATATATAAATGGGGTAAAATTGAGTTTCATTTTATGAAATTCATTCATATATATATATATATATATATATATATATATATATATATATATATATATATATTATAACAGTAATGTTCTGTACAAGGAGCCACTGGAGGTAGAGGTTACAGAGTAAGAGGTATAGTTTGGAGATGATGACAGTTAACTCTAGACTTGAGCAGGTAAAGATTGTAGTGACCGGGGAAGCATCCTCTTGGGAGTCGGTTCCACAAAGCAGCGGTTCGTGGGGAGAAGCTGTTAAAGGAAATTACATTTCCATGTGGAGGGAATGTGGGTGGTTCGCTACAGTGGGCGTGGCATGGCGGGTCTTAGGTGTGAAGGTAAGGACATAGATAAACATTGCATAAATATTTAAGCTATTAAATTTTAAGATATCCCTTAACTTCTTATGCGTTCTATAATTTTAAAAGTTCAAACTGTATCTCATCAATAAAATTAAATATTTCCATTGGAAAATCGATATATTTTTCCATGATTGACAAGGACATCTTTCGAAAGAATCCATCTAGATCATCATTTTTTGAATAATAAAAAAAAAATACAGTTTCTACTTTAGGGTTTATTTGCATCATCGACGATACCGATCCTCTTTTATATATGCAATGCATTTTTTTAAAAATTTGTCTCGTACTAATTTTTATCTTAATTTTTCTTCTTTTTCATCATCTGCTCTGTCGGCTGGGGTTTCAGAATACGTCGACTGCACCTCGCCAGAGAGACAAGAACCCCCCATCCATCCCCCAAATAAAGCATCCTTGGTAAGACGATAAACTACGTCCAACAGCAAGGCCTTTGATTAGGAGGTTTTGAGGAACGTAGAACCACCTCTTAATTGCTGGTGTTATCAGGTCCACCCTGACGTGGGGTTGTAGCTAAGGTCGCAGCTATGGGCAAATTGTTGACCCACAAACTCGAGACAAAACTCTATGAAAGAGTAAAAACAGGTTTTAATACAGCATCACATTTTTGCAAAAAATTATTACCAGCAATGAATTTTTTAAGAAAAATTATTACCAGCAATGAATTTTTAAGAAAAATTATTACCAGCAATGAATTTTTTAAGAAAAATTATTACCAGCAATGAATTTTTTAAGAAAAAATTATTACCAGCAATGAATTTTTTAAGAAAAATTATTACCAGCAATACATTTTTGAAAAAAAATATTACTAGCAATACATTTTTGAAAAAATATTACCAGATATAAATTTTTGAAGAAAAAAATATTACCAACAATACATTTTTGAAAAATATTACTAGCAATAAATTTTTGAACAAAAATAAATATTACCCAGCAATACGTTTTTGAAAAAAAATATTACCAGCAATACATTTTTGAAGAAAAAATATTACCAGCAATATATTTTTGAGGAAAAAATATAACCAGCAATACAGTTTTGAGGAAAACATTTTACCAGCAATACATTTTTGAAGAAAATATATTACACGCTATAAATGTTTGAAGAAAATAAATATTACCTGCAATAAAAATCTTGTTAGCATTAAATAACCCATTGAGTTTGATGCACCGTAAAACAAATCAAACCAAATGAAACTATTTTCATCGTAAATACACAGGCCTCAACGGCTCTTAATATTAATGGTAATATTAATTTGAACCTTTTATCAGATGAAGCATTGTCAACCATTATTCAATTTCGATCTGTAATTCTTTAAACCTAATTTCAATTGATTTATTTCTAAAGTTTTCCATCAATATATTTCATCTAACGGACAGGGTCTCTCGAAAAACCGAGAATGGTAGACGAAAATTCATTCCATATAACGTAGATTCTCCTTGGTTCACATCAGCCGGTTCAGCCGCTATATCCAACAGGAATAACATTTTCGGCTGCACCAACGTCAGAGTTCCGATCTTAACAAACGCCTCTTTTTGGCTGTTAGTAATAATTTGTAAATATTTGCATTATTTACATTATTCGGACTGTTATCCTCATCTCCATTTTCATATTCACAACGTTTCGGCCGTTATACGCTCAGGCCTTTATGTCTATGTCTCTCTATATATCTGTCTATATCTCTGAGATCAGGTATTATGATTACTTGCATTATTTACATTATTCGGACTGTTATCCTCATCTTCATTGCCATATTCACAACATTTCGGCCGATGCACGCTCCAATGCTGCAAGAAATTCTAGTTCCTTTATTCTGCCTGTGTTAAAACTGAAAAGTATCCATTAGCTGATATCATATGACAATGTGTTGTTTTTTTTTTTTTAAAATATCATCAGTGAATGAAGTCTCGGATACATCATTTGAAATCTCATTTTTATTTTTGAAAAAACAAAAACGAAAGCGTAATTTTACACACACTTTCAGTGAAACTGATTTTTTTTTTAATCTTTTCATCAGCGAGCTCAGTAAGATATTGTTGTTGGGTAAAGCGAGGTAAACACTTACCTTTTGGCGTGAATTCCGTGTCACCGTACGGGCCTTTCCTGCTGTAGATCTCAAACAGTATCACGGCAAACGAATAGACATCCCCAGGTTGAGTCCCACGAGGAAGCGAATTTTTGTCACGAAGAAGTTCAGGAGCGGACCATAAAAGATCTGGGAGAGAATAATGAACGGCATTTTGTAAATAAAAATTGATCATTCTGGTTTGAAGAAAAACGATAAAAAAATAGAAGGATTTCGGAAAATATATTTTAAACAGATTCATGAAATAAAATGGGGTTAAATATATATATATATATATATATATATATATATATATATATTACAGTAATTTCAAATTATAGTTGATATATAATTATAGTAGATTGCTCTCTCTCGCACTCTATGTATTTATCTCTCTCTCTCTCTCTCTCTCTCTCACACACACACACACACTCTCTCTCTATATATATGTAAAATGTGTATGTATATAAATATAAATATATATATATATATGTAATTTTTATGTATATTATTTATATATTATATATGCGCGATGCTTATTGGAAAGCGCTCAATATCAGTGATAGAGCTAACATATTTAAAATATACATAGAATAGATATTTAGATAGAATATTTAAAATAGACATCATTCCATATATATATATATATATATATATATATATATATATATATATGTATTCGGGTAAACTGGAGATCAGCATGTTTTAGTGGACTCAGCAGTTTTCTATCTGTTTGTCTGAATCGTCTTCAAGAAGCGAGAGCAAGATCTAAAAGGTCAGCCAATCTAACAGTGATCTCATCCTACAACCTTTACTCTTGCTCCATATGCCACCTCCTTTGTAAATCACTAGCGGATCTTAAGTGCCACTTACGATTATCGCACAAACTTTCATAACTGAATCAATTAAGCTGTCAGATCCTCATCCGTCGAAACCGACGGGAGAGTCCATTATTTTGTATCTGTCTGCGAATAGCATAATTTAACTCTTGAAAATATATTTCAATTGAGCACTGTTCAGTGATAAGCTAATTCTACAAACAACAGCCACCTGCGTTAATATATATATATATATCTGTAATTCTCAAAATGTGTGTGTTCATATGTGTGTGTGTGTGTGTGTAATCGGATGTTGTTCATGCGTTTCCACAGTTTTCATCGGATTTCGATGAATATTTTTGTGTTTGATAGATAATTCTTCAGTGTCGGCTTTGAGTCTAAATTAGCTGGAAAAAATGACAACGTTGAAGGTGAAAAATCAAAAAAATGATTTTTTACATTTTGCGCAAAAATCAAAGGCAAAATTTAATATCAGCAAAAAGCAGCATACAATCCATTTAGAGAATTAACATCTAACGGAAAATATTATCAGAATTATAAAAAAATATAATATAAATAAAAATTATCGTATATTATTATTATGACGGTTCATGGAAGAGATTCCTTCCTTGAAAGATTGAGAACGCAAATCGTCCCTTTCAGGGTCCCCTCCATTCAAATTGTTACCCCCCCCCCATTTTGGGGATGTGCCTCAGTTGCACCCAATTGTTGTTACTAATATTGCTTTTTGGGTGGGCTGACTTGAAACTTAGCTGCTCCAATTAAACGGTAAATATTCCCAGTAATTGTCACTAGGGGTCTCTCTCCCCATACTATAAATACTGGGCGACTTCTTGCCTCGATCTCTTTTTCCCCCAGACCTCGTGCTGCATCCCACCTCGCGTGGAGGTGAGGTACTTCTTTCTTCATTTCAGCGAACACCGCTACTATGTGAGCTCTCACAAAAGACGGCGTTTCTCATTTCTGGGAAGACGCTATGAACATTATGAACATTCACCAAGATACGAACATTCACCAAAGAACAAACACAAACGTTCACACACACACACACACACACACACACACACACACACACACACACACAATGTTAACTGTTTATGTGCTTTGTAATTGTTTTGTTTAATACATATATTTGTTTATGTATATCGATCTTGTTTGTGTTTCTTATCTTCAGTTGGACTTAATTCAAGTCCGCTAATTTTCTTGTAGTTGGACCTTCTTCTAGCAGAAAATATAAACGCAAATGTTTTCTTTTCATCCCCCCCCCGGTCCTCGACACTTTTTAGTGTCATAAGTTTCCTTTTGATGGTATATTTTCTTTTGTGTTTTTGAGGATTTATATATTTAGACAGTTATCTTTCCTTTTGATATTTCTGAATAGGAATTGATGGTGACTAATGAAAAACAGAATCAAAAATCAAAGAATGGAAATAAAGAATTGAACTGCGGATTTTGGAATTGATTACAATGCAGGAAATCTGTGATAGTATTCAAAATGTTTAGACAGAGTAATGTCTTTCCTATAAAATGATCAAACTTTGTTAAGTGGATTAGCGAGTCTCAATCCACGTTTAAATAAAACCTACGACCACGCAAAGCAAATTTAGTTGAAAGTTAAGGAATAAAAGCAAAAGTATTTTGGCTGTTGTCGTGAAGGAAGAAGGGCAATAATTTTAGAACAACACTCGTACGATACGGTGTTATTGAACAAATATCTTTCTGTCTCAGTCCGTAAGCACAGTTGTGAACAGATTTATTCGCGCCCACTGAATATTTGCATATTTTATAAGGTAATGCGAATTACTTACTGAATTTACCATAAATAGTTAATTCCGGATTTAGTTTTGAATAATTTGTGAAATTTTTAGAAGTTTCGATTTATTAAATTCATAGTTATAGATTTTTCTAAAAATTGGTGCAGTATAAAATTATTCGACCACTTATAGAAATAAGAAATAATATTGCTCTATAGGAATTGTAATGTTTTTTCTTAATTTAACATTTAATGCAAACAGCCTTTGAAATAAAAATACTATTGACTTGATTCTATAATATTCTAAAAGCTAATGAAGAAAATATATGAGTGCAACATACCATTATAACTCATTTGTTCTGCTTCCGTGGTGAAGATCAGCTGAATTTGACAAGAATCTCTGAATGAAGATAGTTGATGCGTACAAAGAAGGTGACGGATATACAACTTTCCAAGCGTTTAAAATGTTCCTAAATCATCATTTCGTAGCATTATCAAGAAGTATAAGACTCATTGTACTGAGAATAAATTAAGGACTGCCAGAAAATGGTTAATTTCCGAGAGAATGAAAAGGAAAATTGTTAAGAGATGTCTCGAATGATCCTCACTTAACGACAAAGGACTCGAATAATCCTCACGTAACGACAAAGGACATTGTCAATGATGTAACGACAAAGGACATTGTCAATGATGTAAAGAGTTGGATGTATCGACGAAGACAGTCACAAGATGCTTTCATTGATCAGGATTTCGAGAATCTCAACCAAGGACAAACTCCCTTCCTTAAGGTTAAACAACTAAAATGCAGATTAGCTTATAGTAGAAGCATGGGAGTAAATATTAGCATTCTGGTTTATAGTCAGATGAAACCAAACTAGAATTAGTTGATCACATGAACTCCCGTTATGTATGGAAGGAACTGAATGAGGCTCAAAAACTAAAAAAAAATCCTTCTTGCAATTAAGTATGGTAGAGGAAGCATTCTGCTCTGGGGATGGTTTGCTGCTTCTGGAGCGGAAGAAGTAGTGAGAGTCCAGGGTATCATGGGTAAAGAGCAGTATTTGGCTATTCTTAAAAATAATACAAAACAAAGTGAACGAAAGTTGTCTTTGGGCGTCACTAGACATTCCAAAATGGCAATGACCCGAAACATACGGCACGAATTGTTTCAAAATACTCAGATGACAAAAAAATTAAGGTATTGGCGTACCCAGCATAAAGTCCTGACGCCATTGAAAATTTATGGACATATTTATAGAAAAAAGAAAGCCAATGAAATCCTTTGGAGGAACTAGAAGCTATTGCCAAAGAAGAATGGAGCAAAATAGCTATCAGTGTGTTTAGTGATTATGTAAGGAACTATAAAAAATGATTAAAAGCAATAATCAAGAATAAAGGTTACATAATTGATTATTGAGCAAGAGGGTCAATAATTTTGTCTCATGTTATATGTTTTTTGGTGTTTTTTGTATTATTGTTTGATATTAAAATAAATATTTTGTTGCGAGCAAAACTGCATATTCTTTCAAATTCATTATTTCATCATTTATGAAAAAATGCGCATGAAGTTTCCATGAAAATTTGAGGTTTTACAGACTTTATTTGTAATTATGGAAGTGCGAGTGAATAATTCTGTCCACAACTGTACGTATGCCTATTCATATCTATCTATCTATCTATCTATCTATCTATCTATCTATCTATCTATCTATCTCGTCTGTCCCTCCTTACTTCCTATCTATCTATCTATCTATCTATCTATCTATCTATCTATCTATCTATCTATCTATCTCAGTCTGTTCTATCTATCTATCTATCTATCTATCTATCTATCTATCTATCTATCTCAGTTTGTTCATATCTATCTATCTATCTATCTATCTATCTATCTATCTATCTCTATCTATCTATCTCAGTCTGTTCATATCTATTTCAGTCTGTCCATATCTATCTATCTATCTATCTATCTATCTATCTATCTATCTATCTATCTATCTCAATTAATTTATCTCTTTCCCTGTCTGTGAAAAATTCTCAACGAAGAGATATGATTAATTTTTTCATATATTTCAAACCAAACCTGTTATCATAATTTCAATGATAAATACTCACCCAGGGCCGAGTTGCCTACTCAGTATTTCACTGGCACAAAGTAAGAAATCCATTGGCGAAAATAGATTTTATGATTCATATTCTACCATTTTTGGTCATCATTTTCCGAATTACGCATGTCAAGTACAATTGTAACCTAATGTCAGATTTCACTTGAAATATTCTTGATCATAATTCCTCTTCTTTAGTATTGATCCGTCTTTATTCCAACTACAAAACCAAGGCATCAGTGAATAAAGTAAAATCAAAGAAAATGTAAACTATAAGAATCTATTTTTTGTCACCGCCATTTTTGTCGTTTCAAGTCGGCTGCCAAATTTCAAGATGGCGTCTAGTCAATTCCATTTATATGATAATTAGACGTATCTTGTGCTAATGCCGTCTCAAGTATCAATGAAAATTTCAATTCATTCTGGAAACGGGAAAGAAAAAGAATTAGTTGGAGGATTTTTATTATGTATTTAATTCAGTCTGTGAAGATCTCAAAGCAAA